AGTATCCACCGAATCGGACGCCCTTCTTTTCTTTTCCCTGTCTCCATTTTCTCCCTTTATCCTTCCTCCGACATTTCCCTTCCTCTTTCGATTCCGGTGTCGAATCTCTTTCGTTTTCTTTTGTACTTTTATACGTGAAAATCTTATTACAAGTTCGCGGAGTTTGCTGCACCGGCCGAGTTGCATCATCGGGAGTATCATCGGTTATTCGCATCTCGTTCGAACACGCTTCGCGGATAGGTTGTTAAGAGCGAAAAAGAAAAAAAAAGAAAAAGAAGAATAAAATATACGCAGCGTTCTTCGGGAAACGATTCCACGAAACATGAAACAACCAAAGCACCCGAACCAAAAATTTTATCTATTCTCGTTGCATCCACGACAAGTGTATCGACAAGTGTATGTATCTTAATCGTGGCACGCGTTTCGCAATGTAGCTCGCAAGAGGTTTGTTCCTTGCAAAAAATATACGTTTTTTTTCAATCATTTGTCTCTTTTTCTCTTCTGCTATTCCCCCCTCCCCCCTCTCTCTCCCCCCCCAATGATAAACTCGTTCGATCATTCCTCCTCGTATTCCATCGACTCGTCAATGATGTCAGTATCGGGAACCGCTTCCTGGTGTTGTTGATACTCGAATAACAGATCGTACATAGTGGAATAAGATTCGGTAAACTCGCTTTCGTCCATTCCTTCGTTCGTATACCAATGGAGATACGCACGTTTCTTCAACATATTATCAAACGCGAACATTAGCCTTTTGATAGGCTTCTGTATCGCCGTCGAGTTCGATATCATGCTGGCGCTCATATTGATTCCTCGAGGGGGGATATCGCATATCGCGGTTTGTATGTTGTTCGGTATCCATTCGATGAAATGCGGGCTGTTTTTGCTTCGTATATTCAACATTTGCTCGTCCACGAACTGTAAGCAAACAAGAACGATCGTCAGGTCGGTCAGTTTTGCTTCTTAACGGTAAACGGATCCCCCCCCGGTTGTCTCTCCCCGCCTAGACAACGACGACGGTGAATAATAATTTAAAAATTTCTAGCTATTTCTAGTTTTCCAAACCTTGGTCGACATCCTGCCTCTGAATATGACGGCCACGGTGAGAAACTTGGCCTTGGTCGGGTCGCAGTAAACGAACATGCTGTTCGCGTGGAACAACTGCTTGGTCAATTCTGGAACGTCTACTTTTATGTAGGGGGCAGAGCTTCGGGAGTATAGGGGCGCGTAGCCGGGAATGAAGAAGTGAAGCCTCGGGAATGGTACCAAGTTGACCAATAACTTTCTCAGATCGGTATTTAATTGGCCGGGAAATCTGAAGCAGGTCGTGATGCCAGACATGTAATTGGATATTAAACGATTCGTGTCGGTGAAGGTTGGCGTGGTGAGCTTTAGAACGTTGGTGCAGATGTGGTGCATCGCTTGATTGTCCACGCAAAACGTTTGATCGGTGCAATCGATCGCTTTGACGAGTGTCAATATTGCGTTGTACGGCTCCACCACCACGGTCGGCATCGACGAGTACGGTATCACGCAATAAGATTTGATGATCGTCTCCGGATATTCCTCCTTGAGTTTGGTCATTAGCAACGAGGTCATCCCGCCGCCGCTTCCGCCGCCCAACGAGTGAACGAGTTGAATTCCTGGATCAAACAGGATGGAGAAGAAAAAGGGGAGGAAGAGAGAAAGAAATCTAGAGAATATCTCACCGCGCGTATTTCGATACGTTTTCGATAATATTCCTTAACGATTCGGCAAATTGGGGCGCCGAACTTTTTTCTTATCAACAAACGAACCTTGAATCAGATCACAGGCTTCGGCCTCCGTGCGAATCAGATCCAACGCGATGCTGACCAATTCCGCTCCTTCGGTGTAGTAACCTCTTGCCCAATTGTTCCCTGTTCCAGCTTTACCTATGGCAACGTTGTCAGGCTTGAACATTTTCCCCCATGCACCGGACAAAACGTTGTTCACGCTTGACGGATCGAGATCGACCAGAATAGCTCTCGGGACGTACTTTTTATCTGGAAAGAGAGGCGAGAAATACCGCTTTCCGTGTAACGGTTAACCTGTAAATTTTCTCAATCTGGGATACCTCGCCCTTCGACGAAATATACGTTTAATCGTTGCGATTGAAGATTGGATTCCCCTTGAAAAATTCCGTCCGGAGTCAGACCATGCTCGTCCGCGATCACCTCCCAAAACTGAGAAGTAAGGTTATGTGGATGTCGAGAGAGAACGACACTTAATTATGTATTATACCTTTGCGCCAATCCCGTTTCCACATTGACCTATCTGCACGTGCACAATTTCCCGCATTTTTTTCCCGTTTTTTAAGAACCTAAGAGATAATTTTTCACCGATAATTTTGTCCTCGATTACGCCGAAAAGAAAGAGAACGAAAAATGGGATATTTATCAACGAACCAAGTTCACTCGACTGGTTTCGATCTCTCGCGATCCGAGTTCGTTCATCGCCGCCATTGTCTCGAGTCGATAAATCGATAAATCGACTCGAAAATCGATTATCTACTTCAATATAACGCAACAATCGTTCGTTTGCAAAACAATTCAAGATCATCATGTAAAATTATTATGCCATAAAGAATATCTATTAAATGTTCAACAAAGATAATACAACATTTTCTAAATTACTTACAAGGTATGTATACACACGTGTGTATATGTATGTGTAAATATATTTATATCATATTATTACGTATCATGCGAGCATTTTTTTGAAGGAGAGTGTGTCTGTGTGTATGTGTGCGCGTGCATGGGCGCTCGCGCGAGTGTGTGTATGCATGCGTGCGCAGGTGCGCGCATGCGTATGCGTGTCTAAATATACGTAAAAATTCATCGAAAATAACAAATGTAAAAAGATCAAATGTACAAATCAAAAAACCAGCTCGTCAAAAAAATACGATACAAAGATAAAAAGTTTCGTCCGCGAAAGTGTACATACATTCATATATATATATATATATTTTTTGCAGGCTTCGACCGAGCGAATCTCTTCACGTGGATTTTGCGGATATTGTTGGTCGGATTGCAAGTCGAGGATCAAGAGAGCAGGGAGAAGGAGTCCGTCGCGAAACGGGTAACGGATAAAAACCCGTCCCTCACTTCTCCGTCTCTTCCTCCTCGTCGAATTCTCCCTCGTCCTCGGCGGTGGCTTCTTGGTATTGTTGGTATTCGGATACCAGATCGTTCATATTGGATTCGGCCTCGGTGAACTCCATCTCGTCCATACCCTCGCCAGTGTACCAATGAAGAAACGCCTTTCGCCTGAACATAGCCGTGAACTGTTCGGAAATTCTCTTGAACAGCTCTTGAATGGCTGTCGAGTTGCCGATAAAAGTGGCTGACATCTTCAAACCGCGGGGCGGGATATCGCATACGGCCGTTTTCACGTTGTTCGGGATCCATTCGACGAAGTAAGAGCTGTTCTTGTTCTGGATGTTGAGCATTTGCTCGTCCACCTCCTTCATCGACATTCTGCCGCGGAACACGGCGGCCACGGTCAGATACCGGCCGTGCCTCGGATCGCAGGCTGCCATCATGTTCTTCGCGTCGAACATTTGTTGGGTTAGCTCCGGGACCGTTAACGCCCTGTACTGTTGACTGCCGCGCGAGGTTAACGGCGCGAAGCCTGGCATGAAGAAGTGTAGACGCGGGAACGGGACCATGTTCACGGCCAGCTTTCTCAGATCGGCGTTCAATTGTCCGGGGAATCGGAGGCAGGTGGTCACCCCCGACATCGTAGCCGAGACGAGATGATTCAGATCACCGTAAGTCGGTGTGGAGAGTTTCAAGGTGCGGAAACAGATGTCGTAGAGGGCCTCGTTGTCGATGCAGTAAGCCTGGTCGGTGTTCTCGACCAATTGGTGGACGGACAGGGTCGCGTTGTAAGGCTCGACCACGGTGTCGGACACCTTGGGTGACGGTACCACGGAGAAGGTTGTCATTATCCTGTCCGGATATTCCTCGCGAATTTTCGAGATCAAGAGGGTACCCATCCCGGAACCGGTGCCACCGCCCAACGAGTGGGTCAGTTGAAAGCCTTGCAGGCAGTCGCAGCTTTCCGCCTCCTTCCTGACCACGTCCAGCACCGAGTCGACCAGCTCCGCGCCCTCGGTGTAATGCCCCTTCGCCCAATTGTTCCCGGCCCCGGATTGGCCGAACACGAAATTGTCGGGGCGGAATATGTGGCCGAACGGGCC